GGACTCAGTGGACACATTTTCCTTCTGTCAGCAGCGGCTCAAATGTTCTATAGGGAGGTTGGTCTTTCATACTGGGGAAATTTATCACTTGCTCTCCTGCTAACAGTGTAGTTTTTGTACAGTTAGTCATTGCGTGTACAGCCATTCTTTTTGTAATCACATTCAGTTCAACAAATACTGTGCCATTGTTGCATTTTTCCTCATGTTGATGTAAACCACTGTTTTGCATACTAGTATGCAGTTTCAGGCTTCAGTTAAATATCAATGTGTTCATTGTAGACAGCTCATCAAATACATTATCAACCACACACAGTATTTCCTGTTCCAAGCAAGGCTGTGTAACTGTCAGGGAGTTTAGTGGAGGCACATACAATGTAAAATACAAGGTTATACACACAAGTGGTGTTGTTTATTTGTCAACCTGACACTACAGTATTTTGTCAGTGTAATAGTTTGTGTATCAGAAAAAAAAACAGACATCACTTTTAAATTTATTGGACTCATGTTTTACAACTTTAGGTCTGTCATTTTTAATTCCACATAGCTGTGGTGTGATGTTACTGAAGGGTGGAGTGTGTAAAATGAGGAGGGGGATGGGGAAACTGAAGGCTTCTGCTTGGTAGTAGCCAGCCAAAAACCAGAAGAGACTGTTTATCCACAAAAATGATTTAACTTCCTCATATAGCTGCAAATGATGAAAAAACACCAAAAATGGCAGTGAAGTCCAAATCCAATGCTGTCATGCCCAACGAAAAACGTTTCTTTTTCAACACAAACCTTTATTTAATACATATGTGATACAGACTCAGACCTATTCCAGGAGAACGAAGGGATACTGTGCAGTTTTTTTAATCGAAGAGCACTCAAAGCAACTTAATATTGTCACTGTAAAAAGGGTAACCATAGCAATGATAGATTCCAGGCAGGTGAAAGTCTGGACAGGCACACTTTTAAAGCACCATTTGCTTCCAGTTGGAAATGGATGTGGTATTTTATTGTTCCACTCAGGCATGAGTGTCTACACACTCAGTGTAGTGTTGACACCCACACACTGGAAAGGAAAAATACTATTGAATGATCTGAAACACATCATACTACATGCATACTGTGCAAGTACACCAAAGTATCATTGTGTGCTTGTAGACAGTGGTATTGATGCATGCACTGGTCTGCTTTTCTGTGTCTAATGTTATATTTAGTCTTTTTGATTTGGCTCACAATACTGAGGACTAATTCTTTGTCTTCATAGGATATAACAACAATGAAAATCAGCAACTGCAAATAATCCAGACAAAAGGCATCAGACATATTTACAACAGAATCTCACTCAATTCCCTGCTTAAGTTCAGTTCTCTTGTCATTCTTGCACACTGAAGTCCCATGTTGTCATTGATGATTTGTCTTTATTGATAATCTTTAAGAAATAGCACAAATCCTAGGCTTCTATACCTATAATATCATTTGATTGTCTTTGGTTGAAGTTTTGTGTAGGCAATCCGATACAAACCATGTCTACAAATGTTTTTAAGGCCTATTTAATCAACTGTTCAAGCATACTGAATTAATCTGTAATCACAGAATAGCTGTGTTTTAACACCTCGTAGTACCCAACCAAACAACACTTTCTACCTAACTGATCAAATAATTATATCTTAATTCATTTGAAAGGGCAGAGCAAACAGTCAGTGACAACGAACATCTACACATGTCAGAGAAAAACATACATTAGAATTACATCTTCTTAAATATAGATCTGATTTATTCTTTCATCCACTTGCAACAATTAGGCTTTATAGCCCTAATTCAATGCATTTAATTATGATTATTTATCAAATTTGTGGATGTCAAGTCATCCAGGTATTTCAGGTTACACAGAGAATTATCCAGCTGAGTTCAACCTCGTCCCCAGTGATTTCCACTGGGAGTGGGGAGTTTACTGGAGAGAAGAGAACTGCAGGACTTGTGAGTGATGGGAGCTGAAACTTAGCACCAGCTTAGCAACATGTCTCTCAGAGTGAAGGCAATATTTAGGCACACCTCAGCTTCATTAGGCTGACAGAAACCTTAGGGGAAATGATGTAGAAGAGAAGGGAAGGAAAGGGCACTATGTGTCATCTGATTTTCAGATGGACACCCTTGAACTACATTCTTGTACCAAAATGTCTTTAAGGCAAATGTGAATACCGATGTTCTTAAAGGAGAAACACCAGTGACAAAAAGCATTCCTTGAATGATAAAGTTTGCAGCAGCACCGTTAATTGAGATTTTAAAGGTGCTCGGTGGAGTGGTTTTGTAAACAAACAAAAATTATGTTTGCATACACTGATTTTCACCAAAATGCATGTGTGTATCTTTAAGGCTTGGCATATGTATTAAATGCATTTCCTTCCTCATAACTATATACTGTAAAATCCAGTCTTTTGGATATTTTAATTTGTGCATTGTTTAGATCTGTGTTGGATAGCTTTCCACATTGCTACGTTACCGCCACCAAATGTCCATCAGCAGAAAACTTCAGCAAGAATGTGTATCACAATACCCGCGTGTTTGCATGCATGCGCGTTTGTCCTCATGCCTGTGCACGATAAAAACAATAGAGACCCATTTACAAACACACAGAACTGCAAGTAGCCAAGATCTCCACAGGGTACCTTTAAGTAACACTCTTGTAATGGACTGGTAAGAAGAGGTCTCCCATAGTCAGTTGTTCAATGTATGAAAGCTAACTACTGTATCCTAAAACACTAAGACATTGTTTATGAGTACAAGAATCAGAACAAGAAAAAAATAACTGCTTTTGCTATTTACAAGACTTGTGAAGTTAAAAGATGTGCTTCCTGGTGTTGTGCATGTCAAGTCAGTCATACAAAGAGCCACTGTGTTTGGATTCCAAGCTACTGTGAAGGTGAGTCAAGGAAGATGCAGACAAATCTGATGGAAACAGAAAGACACCAAAAGAAGAGCTAGAGGGTAGTATACAAGTACACATCCCTGAGGCCCTCTTAGAAGGTGCTAGAACCCTGTTTGTGTCTCCAGTGGTCTCCATGATGGTCAAAGTGCAAGACTGCGAGCACTACAGGCTGAAGCCTGTGCACGCTGCACCACTGCTGGACATTTCTCTCTCTTCTGCAGCTTGTGGTTTTGAAACAAGCCCTCATTTCGTGGGACACCATGAGACCCATCTGGGAAAGTCAAAAGTCCTGGAGGCACAGACACAGACATGACCAACCACAAAGAAACAGTACTGACATCCTTATGGACAAACTGTTCCAGGGGGACTTACCATATCCCTCAACACGTCCGTCATTAAATTCACCCTCAAACTTCATGCCATCATATCGACTAAAGACTCCTGTACCTTGAAACTTTCCATGTGCAAATTCTCCTTCATATCTGAAAATGTTAAAAGACAGTTGTCATTTGTATATTTTGATACAGGTGAACAAAACTTCTGTTATTCTCACTTTAGCTCACACACCTGGATCCATCTGTAAAGAGCAGTACACCAGAGCCATGGAAGAGTCCATTCTCAAACTGGCCAGTGTAGCAGGTTCCATCCAGAAACTTGAGCTGGCCAACACCGTGCCTCCGACCTGGAAGGTTGCACACCATCACCAACGGTTAATGGCTCAAACTTAAAACAGATGATGGAAACACAAGAAATCCTGTTAAGGCAAATGGTTTTGACACGAGATCTTTACAGGAGCTCTCGATTCACATTTTATCTACACAATACTTCATCTAACCACGTAGCCTCTTTCATAATAGTGTGTAAACACAGTGTAAGATACAACCACCTAAACATAACATTTGAATCTGTAATGCAGCTCAGGGTTCTATATTCACTTAGTATTGTAGAGACACTACATACAGTATGTCACGAGTTTGTAGAGTATGTGCTCAGATTTAAGTATACCCCCTCAACTCTCTGTCAGCTAAAGGTTTACTGGTGAATTAGGAGTCCCATCTGTTTCCTGTGGAGTGGGAATTACAACATTCTAATCCAGTAGATGTTTTAGTAGGGACTAAAAATACTCATGAAATACTAGCATTTCCCTCCTAGTAGCCTATGATCTACTGCTAAAACTTATAAACTTGTCAGGGGGGGCACACCTACATGTTTCTGGACAGCTACTACAACTGGCTTACACCAGCAATAGTGGGAAAGTGGGCAAAATGTTGAGGACAGTGTTTCCAGCTGAAAATCATCCCAAACCCAATGACAAGACTTGGTGGCTGATGGTTTTTCAACAGCAGCTGACAGACAGCTCTCAAAGATTTCCCAAACAAGTCCAAAGTCTAATCCAGAAGATTTGAAAAAGCCAGCTCTGGAAAAATCCGGCTCTGTTCATCATGGATTGTCAATGTTAGCTAACTGGGATTTGACTAAATAGCTTGAGCTGCATGTGTGTGTGGGAGAGAGTAGAAAAAGTGTATGCATCCTTATAATTGTTGCTACAGGTGAACATTTTGACAATTCATGCAGATTCATTGCTACCACTGGCACTTGCATTTGATCCTGCTAGCTTTATTAAATATGGTAACTATTTATCTGGATGTGTGTATGATATCCTTGTTAAAAGAAGAGAACTGCACTGGAGACTATGATTCAGACTGAACTTATGGAAATGTATGTGTCCTTTAGAAAAGAAACACATTGTTGGGAAGCTTATCAAAATAATATACACCAACAACTATTAATATTATGGAGGGATATAGGTAGTATGTCCAATTTTGACAGCTGATTATCAGCATAAAACTTAACTAACCATTTGCATGTTTTAGTGTCTCACCATTCTCTTTCACTTTGGTGCTAACTAACACAATAATCCTCTGGAGACACACTATGAGGAATAGATGTACAGCACAGAAGATACAGTACAAAATAAATGCTTGTCTTGTTTCTGTCATTAAACTGATTATACTTGCACAGAAACCTTATTTAAAATGGACTGCAGGACTGTCTTGCCTTCTTTCCACTCGCCATGGTACTCTTCTCCGCTGGCATAGGTGAAAGATCCTCTGGTCAGAGTCATGGCACCCCTGTTTTTAACACATTCATACAAACAAATGCAGTAGGCTCAGTACCACACAGCCCTTTGTGACCATTATTCTATTGCTTTATTTATAGTACTAAACACAATAAATTAGCTGAAGCAGGTTTTATACAAGTTAAAATATATTTCTGTTGTGGGGGAAAGCCTCTGTGTTAGTCACTGTAGTTGAACATTTATATTTGGGCCAGATCAAAGAATAAAGGCAAGACCAGATCATATAACTCTCAACCCAATAGGTCCCAGTGTATGTTGGTGGCAGTGATGTTGTTATTAGCCCATTTTAAAAACACACATGAACTAAATGTTCCCTATAAAGTGATAAACTGGAAACCGTCACTGTAGCATGACTGCAGACATAAACAAGAGCTTATCACATGGTAACCATTTCAAAATACTGTCCAGTAGATGTGTTGCTTTAAAACAAATGAGTGTGTCACAGAATGGCAGTCAGGTGTAGCCTTACCCATGAGGTAGACAATGAACAGGCTATAGGCTATAATTCACCAGCTCATCCCAAGACTGAAACACTAAGGTTAGGCTACTGTAAACATCCAATTTAGGATGCTTACCCAGTAGGCTATATGTTTATATCAGTGCAGCCTTTATATATATTTTATTGAATAGACTATCGATTTTTAACGATAAGCTTATGTATATGGACTATAACCTATAAATACGGCTAAGCGAAAAACACCAGCAGCTGTTAACGCTATAATTTACCTGTAGGCTATGTTTGTCGTCTCTGAGGCATGGAAAACACCGTAAAAGAGCGGAGGGGCGTAAAAATATGAAAACACCGGCTGAGAAACCTATGTCGCATTCAGGTACTCCTCGTAAGCTTCTAGTCCAGTTTCAAGTCTTTGGGCATTCGCAAATGCTTCAGGGCCGCGGCAAGGCGTTTTAAGGGTCGTGGTTTTAGGCTATATTAGAATTTGAGAGGAACAGCTGTGTTACAATGTCACACGAAAATGTGAAAATATGTCTCTGTATAATAAAATTTAAGTGTCACATTATTTGAGTTGCTTGTGGGCTCCATATAAAGACTCAACTTAGAAACGTTCACAGAGATATATAACTTATTTACAGGGTGTGTTTAAGTTTGTTGTCCTATTTTTGTGTACGTTCATATGCGCTCAGCTCGAGATAGTATTAATTCAGAAAGCACATGAAGGCAGCATTACAACAGTATCGTTGCAGTCTGACCGCCGCTCTGTTTCTCTGCATGGCTGTTCCTGGCTCTCATTGAAAACTCGTTCTGACTGGTCTAGTGTGCTACAGCTTAGAGACGGAGGCAGACATATTTATTATAAGATCCATCCATCCATTATCTATACCGCTTAGTCCCGAACGGGGTCGCAGGGTTTATTATAATATATATTATTATTATTATTTTGTATGCATTCAACACTACAGCTGACAAGGGAGCCTTCAGCTGAAATTGTCTGTGGTCTAAGAAACGTATCTATGTGAAATGTGTAGACCACTGGCTGTAACATATACATACATACATAAAGTTGTGGTTGATAAACGATTTCCCCCCACACGACTGCATTTTAGCTGAAGTCAGACAAAATGTCCTATGGTAATTCATGGATAGTATGCTACTTGTTTACTAGTGCATAGGGCTGAGCAGGTTAGACTCTTCCTGAAAAATCTAATTAAGGCAGCCCCTTTCTTCTAACCACGGTTTGATGAATGTTGTGCCGAACTATCAGTAGATGTTGAATAGGCTACCACAGGATATATTGAAAATCTGACTTATCGATTAGCGCTATAGAGGAGGATCACTGAATGGGAACCATGAATGTCTGTACAAAATTTCACGGAAATCAAGGAATTATCACCACTAGCACTGGTTAAAATGCAGAATATGTCTAAAGGCCTATAGTTTATTCGGTCATAATCAAATCACCACGCACTATTTGCCACATATCATCACCATGGTCTTTGCAGCAGTTGCCCAGTTGCTGCATTTGTTAACCTTAATGTAAAAAGCATTGCATTTGATTTAATTTGCAAAGGTTATCAACATAAACACCCATTTTTTAGGAAGATTTTAAAAACCATTGGTGGTGTAAATTATTTATATTAATCTTAATAATACTAACTTACTGATTTACTGGGAGTATTTGGTTTGGAAGCTATACAGGCTGAAACCTGCGGCCACTTTCTCTCCGGGGTGATTTCACCAGCGTGCTGGTGGTGATTTCCTCCTCAAACCTGAGACGCGCGTTCACGTAAACAGAGCGCTTCCTCTTCCCGTGCTGGTGCCCGCCACACAAGAACGATAGAAAATGGCGAGTCAGTGTAAAAGGCAGCAATGCACAATCGACAGGCGCGGCTTTCGGCAGGAACTTGACTCGTGGAGGCACAAACTTATTCACTGTGTAGGTAAGGATAATGCTAGTTGCACGATGTACCATTATATTGTTTCAATGTAGCATTTGCGTGACCATTATCGACGTAAATAAGCATGTATTATTGGACTCAGTCGGGGCATCTCCCAGTGACTTTTTTTGTCCTCAACTGTTTCCTTCTCACGGCAGGCAGCCTGAGCCTTAAATGTTACAGTTTGTGACAGTGCTGCAGTGTTGTTTCCTTACTGTTTTTATTGTTCTTAAATCCAAACTGTAGACTTAAATTATTTACTGGCGTAATGTTAGTTTGTTTAAAGGGCACCGTGCTTGTTTTAAAGGGAGTGTCACCGGAGGCGTTGCGTCGGCCAAAAGACCCCGTTTGCTGAAATGCGCGTTCCCGTGTCATACTGTATTTTGGTTGGGGGAGGGAGACATATGTCTGTGGTGGATGTTTTCACTTAACATTTAGCTTGCTTGCTTTTTTCAGATCGCCTGGTGTGGGCGCACTTTACTGCATTAAAGAATTGGCTGAGGCCCCACAGAAGTTCACATTTTCTATAAGGTTTTCAGACCCCTTAAAATAAGTAGTGTTAGGTATTTTTAGTCAGATAGATATTGGTTAGATACTTTATGTATTAGAAATGTTTAGTGGAGATAGGATGGCTAGTTAGACTGTTAAATGCTTAGTCATGCTTATGAGTTTCTACAGGGTACATCTGGTCAAGGATAACTAGAGAGAAGAGTTGATGACTGTCAGCAGACAGGGTGTTTAATATTATTATTATGACGTGTATAACTGTAGCCTTAGCCATAATATGTTCTTATGTTTAAGTCACGACATGTGTGTAGTATGGGGCTAGCCCAACCGAGGGGATATAATGTATAGGCCTGGTGGGTTCAGGGTCTTTCATCTTACATCTGCCTGCGTGCAGGTTGGAGGTGCAAGATACCTGAGCGTGTAATGTTAATTTTTACCTGTGTTCATGGAATAAATCAGCACTGTTTTGTAGTTACTTGGACTGCCTCGTCTCTCAGAGTCAGTATGGTAAAAAGTACCGGGTACAACAGTAGTTCATTAAAAATGCAGTTATTGCCTTGGGGTTTTAAGCTGATTGTGCTGGGTAGGCCAATATTTGTGTGGGAGTTGAAGCTAAACTATAATTTTGTGGTATTATAGCTAGAAGATTGAACAGAACAGGACAAGACCTGCAGCAGGGGTTTGTTCTTGGAAGGTTTTTAGCCCTGCTAGTGATGCTAGTAACTTTGGACCAGGCTGAACTCTTCCTCTAGTAACGTTAACTTACTACTGGCAGGTTAAAGTTTTCATTTGTTCTCTTAATTATCATTATCAGCAGGATGTATATTTGTAAAAATAATCAGATTTACCTATGTTTTCCGTTTAGTGATTATTAGCAAATGTTAACATGCTAAACTAAGATGGTAATAATGGTAAACTACTTTCTTATCAGCATTAACCAGTTCAAAACACCTCTGTGCCTAAGAACAGCCTCACAGAGCCACTAGCATGGTTATAGACTTACCCTCGTGTCAGTATGTGTTTAGGTGAATTCTAGTTCATAGGCGCCTACACTACAGTATAAATTTCAGTTTAACTGCATCTCAAGTTATAGTCACTGGTCTGTGATTCATTATATGTGCTATGTAGAACTGATATCCTGCTGCTCAACATGTCCTATTTTTTGTAAACAATGTGCTGTTACTTCTCATGGATGGCAAGCAAATCTAACCTATAGCGTTGGTTTTTATCATGCTGTTGAAGAAGTGTAAAACAATATGACAGTGCTGTGATTTGTTTTATTCTGTCCATACATACTGTTAGAAGCTGTGCATATACATTAGTAGTTTTACATGATTTGATGGAGTCACTTTAGGAAAAGGGGGAGGCTGTTTGTAAATCTATGCCTTACCAGCCTGGGTAGCATAGCAACAGCCAATGTGGATGCTCAGCACCATCATGGATTAATCATGCAAATGATAAGCAGAGAGTTGTTTGGTGATCCTACTGTTTACAGTCAGATTAGTTTTACTGCTTTAATCAGTTCCTAGTTGGTCTGTTCTCACTTTATTCAGTGTCAGGAGGTTTTTGTGTGGACTCATTAAGGAATGCAACAGCCTTCATTAAAGGACTTTTTCTTTATTATGCAGAACTGTCTGCTTTTTAGAAAACTTGTATACAGAGAAATTTGTCAGGCTATGTTTTAGTTTTAATGACTAAACATGCACGCATGTTGTTTTTGCTTGTGATGTTTAGCAGACTGTCAAACAGAATTTGAAGTAGAATTTAAAAGGCATGACCCAAACCCATTTAGATCTTTGAACACTAACACATCTAGTCTCATAATGTCAAAGCTGACCTCGCTTTAAGTGGCCGCTTTGTATAGGTCTTAATTGAATTGTGTAATATATTTACAAGACATGTACTTTGTTTTGCTATCATGTAAAGGTTTTGTGGTTGCATGTTACGTTTTTTTTAGCTCTTGGCTTATTAATGCCAGGTTAGGTGCTGGCTTCATAATTAGAAAGATCAAGTGCAGTGAAAGAACTTGCACAGATCAGCTAAAGCTGTCAGCAAAACTGCTCATGACTTGCCATCATAGACCAGGTTAATCAAAAGTTTAGGTCTGGCATTACAGTATTTATGATGTTTTTAGGCATCTAGCTTGAATGAACATCACATTATTTCTTGTAATAGTGGGGCTGTACCTAAACAGGTAAACTTTAGGATTTGGCACTGCTGATTTTACACAGGACCTTTAGTGTAGAGTAGCAGTTTGCATAATTGCTGTACATAGGATAGTGATATTGGTGTACAACGACATATTTCAGCTAAAATACTACAATATTAGGTGGACTGTGTGCTCATCACTGAAAAGAAAATGCAGAGAGAATAATAGCGTTCTGACCAGTCACTACCTCTAGACTCAGTACTGTTCAGTTAGTCAGTTTCCCCTTGAGGATTGACAAATGTCCCTTGTTTGTGCAGTAATTGTATAGCTGCAGAGTACATGACAACAGCATCAGTCTGCTGGGCACATAATAGCATATTCTGTCCATGACAACAAGGACATACTCTTGTTTGGCTTTTTGGCTGAGAGGGCAGCACACCACCACCACCACCATGCATACGCTGAAATGAACATTTTGTCTTTGTATATTTAATGTGAGCAGTAAAACTGCAGGGCAGAGACAAGGGCAATTGTCCAATAGAACAGCAGCAACAATTGTTTGTATGCTTGCCTATACATGTGTTCATGGTCCATCAGCCCCCAGATGCAAACTGTGTGGTTGAAAATGTGTATTCTCTCTGGATTTGGGAGATCTGGACTGAAACAGCACCATCAAATATTTGGAAATGCCTGGAATGTTAGTTATTCATGCTTTCATTTGATGTGTGGGTGTGTGAGATTAAGTATTTGCTCAAACAAATAAGTAAATATTGACATTAGCCTGATTTGTCTTGTTTAACTTTAGTCTGCCCTGTTTTCTGCTCCAGTATGCCACCTCTGATGGATTTCTCCTAATTTGCAAAAAGAGCAAATTGAGGTTTGTTGACATTCTGTGAAACATCACCAACAGTTTTAATGGTTTCTTATGAAATGCACTTGCTTTGACTGTATTTGTCTGTGTAACTGGACATACGTGTGTGCGCATGCACACTTTATTTGCCTAAAATCATTGGGGTCTCATATTTGTTATTCAACGTTATGCTTTGCCCGCCCCCCCCCCCCCACTATTGATGTTATTTGAAGCTGTCATCTCACTGCCTGCTGTACGTATAGCCTGATCCACCTACTGTGTGTTGCCTGCAATGAAAACAATGTGTAGTAGTGAAATTACATTTCAAGCACTACTTTTCTCATGATGTAACATCTAGACTGTCTGACCTTTAGCTGAGGATAGCATAGTAGTCAATAGTGAATGCATTGGGCTTAGTCCCACAACATACATGTAGCTCAGCTAATCTGTGCAACTTTGTCATTTCTGTGGTCGTCCTCGGCCCCATATTGTATCTTTACAGAGCATTGTTCAGGGATATCTGTGAATCTCCTCCTACTCAACACTGGTATGACTGTTAAAACATGATGTCTTAAAAGATTAAAGAATTTATTGATTCAGTCCTTTAGTATTTCCAAAGATGCTAGGTTTACTTTGGCTGTGCACTGATTTGGACTTAGGGAAGTTCCTGTTCTGCAAGCTTTATGTCACTCTGTGTGTACTGTAGCTCTGGAGGGGGGTGGGTGGAGTGGAGGCTGATGCAACACCGTACACCTTCAGCAGTAGAGCAACAGAGGGAAGGGTTTAGGGCTGCCCCCTGAAAGTGGACTAGTTGAGAGACCCATCAGTTGCCTGCGACTTATGTAGTTGAATCTTTGTTTTTATTTTATTATATTTTATTTTTTTGTCAGCCAGTATGCATTACAATAGAAGGTAGCCCTGAATGAAGCTCTGAGGAATGTAATGTTAAAAGTTCCCTGTGTCTGAATGGCAGACAGCCATCACTTTAACATAGAATGGAGATGTAAGCAGTCGAGCCCCTAGCCCCCTGGAATATTCAAATACTTGCCGACTGTTACAGCTGAAACTCCTGAGCACAAAAAATGGTGTTTGGGACAGCCCGAGACTGTTTGGCTATAATACCCAGTTCCCACCCACGTAGTGCATATCACCACCGATAGTCAATAAAGATGACTTGTACCACACCTTATATTCATTTCACATTGATGTACATCATAGGTTAAGAGTAGGATTTAATGATCCTAGATCTGTGGGATTTATCTTTCTGAGTGCTGGTGGGAAGGAGCAAGGGTGTTTCACACACGAAATCCTTCTTCTGTAATTGGCCATGGATGTAGGTCAGAGCAGGCTAAGGCAGATTAAGCTCCACAAAAAGATCTCCTAGAAAGTCTCATAGTCAAGGTTTATGGCTAATGCTTAAGGCATTTATCAGGCTGCAATCTTTTATAAATGTATAAATAAGATGTATTGTACATTGCAGCCCTATTGGGCACTTTTAAGAACCAGTTTCACTTATTAAGGTGAGTGCTCTGTAGGTCCTTTTTAAAGTATCTTGAAATATCTGTTTTGCTAATACTGGGCCTTGTTCACAAAAGGTCTCCAATTCATTTATCTGATTTTTACCTTGTCTTTTGTTGGAGTACAGCTGCATCTGGAGTTTTGATGGTCTCCAATATCAGACCCAACCTAAACTTAAATTTAAGCGATGCAAGTAAATCCAAAAATATCACTTTCTCTCCTGTCAGCAAGTTTACTGCACAGAAAAGCCTGTTTTGAAAGCTAGTCTCTTGCAGAGATTACTACTGTAAATTATGTAATAATAATAATAATAATTTGCATTTTATTTGAGTATTTCAGATAAATACAATAAAGACAATAAAGGTTTGGAAATAAAACATCATCCACCTTGTAGAGCTAGATGATTGGCATAATAACTAACTTTCTCCAGTAGTTAAAAAAGGACAAGCTTCTAATGAGGCTCTGACATGTTGTCACTTACAAGTAGGCCTGTAGTTGTTTTTCCATCCATTTTACAGTGGATGAAGATCACCAGCTTCATTAACCTGATATCTTTGTCCTTAATGTCTTTTATATAAAGTCCTTGACAAGTTGTAATATTATTAGATGGCAGATAATACCGGACTCTTTTTTTTCTTTTTCTCCCCCCCCCCTTTTCTCATTATCACTTTGTACCTCTGTGCTTATTGTATCTGGAGGCTATCTGATCACTATAAATCAAGTGAGGTATGTGTAGCAGCAGCTCAGTGCTGGCCCAATTCCTTCTTCAGTGAAATTAATTGGTGAATGTTATGTCAAACATAAAACACACCTAAATAACATTACTGTTATTACTGCAGCCACAAGCACATATGGCATCTGTAGTTGGGGTTTGTATACACATTTATTTTATAGAGCTTGCTTGGTTGTATAGACTATCAATATTTTATCCATTACATTTGTAGGCAGCGTGCTCTCTTAAAATGTAAGTTGCTAGTCCCAAAATGAGGCTTGTGTGTCAGGGTTCTTTTTGTTAGCTATTAGGCTGCACCACATTATGCTCTATAACCTTATGACACACTTTTAAATGCCCTAAACTGAATTCTTGAAGAATAGTTTAATGTTATGGTTCTCCTCTGTCAAACAAAAGTGGATGACCTACTTTTCTCGCCCCTGCCTCTGAAATTTTCAGAAATAGGATTGGATAGCTTCAGCTGAAGTCCTGTGCACTAACCCAGAAAAAGACTCGTGCTGCAGCCATAGGCGAGATTGTGTTTCACCCCCCTCTCTTTATGTTTGACAGTTGAAAAGTGGGTGGGAATTTGTAGGGAAGCAGAGCGAGGGCATTTAATAGATGGCAGCTTTTACTGAATTCACTGAGAGTTGAGGAAGAGAGGATGGTAAGGCTGATCATTTTCTCACCTGCTATCTATTGAAGATGTACTGTAAAAAGGCCTTTTATTATGACGCGTAGTTGGATGATCAACACATTTAGCCAAGTTATATTGATTTCTGTTTTGGCCTTTTAGTTTGGAACTGTGCTCTCTCTTATTTAAGATCCAGTTCAGTAGACAGATGTTACCTCTGACCTCTTTAGCAACTAATGTAATGCATGTGCTCGTTTTTGGTGAGTTGTACTGGCCCTGCGGCAGGAAGCAGGCATTGCATATTGAGTTAATGCGCTGGTAGGTGAAGTATATGTGGCATCCTATCTTTCAAGCAGCTGGAATTGTAGAATACCAACATCTCATCAGTAATGTACACAAGATTTTTCCTTGGCCTGTATATGTGATAGCTGATGTTTTGCTTTTCCATACAGTGTTTTGTAAGTTGTCATTTAGAGAATTGTGAACATTTGGCTTTGGTTAAAATCACAACATTGCACAGGATACTTTAATGTCGTCAACTACAGGTTTCTTGAATGTTGCAACATGCAGTCACTGCCAACTCTGTAGCCACTTTAGTTGCTTGGCAACAGCAGGATGTAGTGCAGGTTTTTACTGTTGAAGTAAAAACTTGCGGGTGAAAGCTGATGTGTGTTTTAACAGAAGTGGAGGGTTGATTACAGGGGTTGTCAAGATGAGATAGACGAGCCTGGGTGTATGGAAAAGACATCACATGAAATATTAGTACTGTTCAGTTGCCCAGGGTCATAACCATTTTTTTCTATTATAACAAATTAATTTGAACCCTTGAACACATAATGTCTTAAACAGTGATTCATTTTGATTCTTTGTTCTAGTACCAAGCCTTAAATAGGAGTAAATCATTACGGAATTTCTCGTCTTTCCACAGGTTTTGAGAGCATTCTTGAAGGCTTATTTGGTACAGAGCTGGTAGAAGAGGTAAAAGTTTTAAACGGTAAGTCAGCAATTTTCTTTATTATAATAGTGGCCCTGATCATACAAAAGCATGCAAGAATGATTGGGAATTTTGTGTTTTGAGCATAATCTGATGTCTGCTCATTATGATAATGCTGCTGCATTGTACCATCTGGTACCCCTCTACATTCACTGTAGCCCCCCCCCGGCTACAGAAGACATGATGCCTTGTGTTCCTGCAGAGTTGATGGTTTGGATGGTGTGGGGCCAATGTAAAAGTCTAGTGTCCTACAGACATTTTATTGATGCATGATGTTAATGAGACAATAGTGGGCGTTATTTTGGTTTTCATTACATTTGCAGTGAAAGGACTGTCAAAGGTTAAGCAGCAGTTGGAGAGGCTGCTAAAAATGAATGTATAAAAAATAGGACAGTGCATGTTGCAGTCAATCTTTTTTTTTTTCATGACACATCACACAGTGTAATTATGTTGATGATAATCCAGAAGGAGACGGTACTTTAAAACAAAATGTACCGTATGTCAGTCAGGGCATACGATTTTGTATTATTGCTATTATTTATAATGTTTTGATTGTTTTGATTAATGTATTTGGCAAAATAAAACTAGACATTGACATAGGCAAAAAAAAAAAATAGACAATGATTTTATCATCTGTTTTGTGTCCACAGCCCTTGAACCTACAGCAGTGCCTGACTGGTCATTTGATCAAAGTTGTGTATTCTGCTGTTTGAGAAGAGACAAAGTAAAGGTAATATTTTTAGTTTTCTCTGTTTGCTTTGCTAACTGCTGTGAAAGTGCATTGGATATTAGATGAAGATCACCATTCAGACTTGAAACCGTAATATAGAAAATTTTAAAAATCCTATATCTTGCTCAGTATGTGTCCCTTTTCGTTCTGAAGACTACGGACTCAGCAGTTCTGTCATTTCACAGGAACACTTAATTGGATTAAACAACGAGGGCTTTGAAGATATACCCAAACCTCTACTGGTTAAAGATCTGCCCACAATCAGCAGACTAGAGAAACAAGCGGAGGAATTTCTTAGTGCAGTCCTCAACAGAAAAGGTGATCTAATGGAATCTGTGGAACAATGCTTCCACATGGGTGTAAGAGTTTTGGTTGTTTTGCAGGCTGAGCACCAAAGTGGCTTTTATTCTTGAAATGATTTTACACTGTGGTTGTGAATGTTGACTAATGATCACTTACAGCTCAGTAAAGGAATGCAGACTTAACAACCGCCCCCCCTCCCCTTCAGATGTGCCAAATTTTTTGGACCCACACATTCCAGTAGTGGCTCGAGACATCCTTCAGAGAATGATCCGACAGTTTGCTGCCGAATATACCTCAAAAACCAGCTCCCCTCAGGACAGTCGCTCAGATTCCCAGCCTCCCTCTGACCAAAGCCCGGCTTCCCCACCCTTGTTCCCGGGGGCTCCTCCTCCTTCTTCTATCAGCCCTGCTGCTACCCTGGCTGGACTTGCACACAACCAGAACCCTGTCCTCAGCAAGCTCCTCATGGCTGACCAGGATGCTCCTCTTGACCTCACCATCAAGAAGCCCCTGGCTGAGCCCAGTGAACAAGGTAGTGTGAACTGGAACACATGTAACAGAGCAGCACATTCAGGACTGAGCTATTTACTGGCAATACTCCAGCCTGTACTTAACCTTGAATCTAAATTGCCTTTTTTTTTTTTAAACAGATGGAGTCCTTGACTTATCTATTAAAAAGAATCGCTATAGTAGCAGCTTGCCTGTCCGTAGTCCCTGTTCTTCTCCAGCCACATCTACACTCAAGGGGTAAGATATGTTTCTTTGTCTTTGTCACTTTAGCCTCAAATTCCTAAACAGTAATGTTTTGGAAGATATGTTATGTTGTAGTTTAGGATGATCTCAGGGTGGATTTGGAATGAATTGAATAGTTTTAACAAATGTTAAAACTGGTTACCAGTAGTGCCATTGATGCATTGGCATTAAGTGAGGCCTGATATTGGGGAACACAGCCAGTTGGTCGATATGAAAATGATCAAACAGAGTTTGTATTAACAAAAATAGATTTGGAACAAAGAAACAAACATAGGTGCTTCTGCTGCTCAATTCTTTTCTTAAAGCTCACTCCAATGTGTCCCAGAGGATGCTGCCATTCAGAATGAATTTCCTTGCAGACTTGCAGATACCTGCTTCAAAATTTTTTGTGTGACAGATCACTGGTTTCAGATAGGGACTGAATGGGAAGCATGTTGTTGATTTGTGAACTATTGTAGTGTGAAAATATTCTGTTACTTGGCCTCATTTTTGGTTTTCAGTTCATTATTGTCTGGCAAGGCACTAACTGGCCTGATTATGATTCCTACGGGACTTGCAGCTTTGCTAAATCTCATGCATCTATATGCAAGTTGAATAACACCTTTTGACAAAAAGAAACAGCTTAGACTATTGCAGCAGCTTCTCAGATAAATGAAAGCACAAGAAACTACTACTTCAGGACTGAAGCCCTACACAAATGCAGTAGAGAATAGATTCACTTTTATACTTTTAACAGAGACTCAAGAGATTCTCAATGAAGAAGTAATGTAGTAGCAGAGGTATTAAATTAGTTCACGTTTGCATGCTGTCCTCCCAATGAACTACTGCATTTGGTTGTTTTAATATCAACATATAAGCACTGCCTATACATTCTGTTACCATGCTGGTAGCATTATACTTTTTAAATTATACATGCTTCTAATAAACATAATGGCACTTTTTCTGTAGAGCCTAGTCACTGACGCCACATATTAGAAAAAATATATTTCCTAATGTCATCCATCCACATCAGAGGGCTGTATTTCAAATTTTATTTGTAGACAAATGGCCATTTTATTTCATTCTTAATTGAATCAGACATTTGAGACTATCTCCATCTAAATAGGAGTCATTTTATTTTGTAGTTTGGTTCTGTTTAGGCTTTCTTGAAAGCATAAAAATGTTAGTATCGATATGAAAACAATCTACTTTATAAGGTGTTTGGGGTAAGAAGACCCAAATTAGGTTAATCAGATTCTAAAAGGAATAGTTTGACTAATTTTTGTTAAAAAGACTGGTGTAGAAATATGACCACCAAAACAATGTGTATACAGACAACTCTGGAGATGAACTCATAATTTAGCATTTAGGAAAAATCTCTTTTAAACTGTTTTATATATATATATAAGTTGATCCATCTCCTAGATAAAATTGCTCTAGATACACAACAACTCTGCTGGCTTACTCTTTTATTGCTGTGCTTGTTTAGTGGTAACGTCACACAAAATGTCAAGAGCTTGAGTTGCTTTAGTCATTTGTATGGCATAGTTGTTGTGCCCTGCTTTAACAGCTACACCCCAAGCTGCCTACTGCAATGGCAAACAGTTGCTCCTCATGGCCATACTTTTTGAGCCACAAGATACCAAAGACCTTTATGTAAAAATGCCTTTCTTTGCTTTTATTTTCATTGTTTCTTTGCCCTTTTCTCATTTCTTATGTTGATGAAGAATTTGTAAACAATCAAAGGAAGCAAATAAAAAAATTGTCAACTTGAGCCTTTTTTGTTCTTAAAAGTCACACACACAACCACACAGTCATTCTAACATAGTGATGTTACCAAAGCAAGGTCACATAATAAAGGAGTGGCCAACATCCTCCCCTTCCCAACCCATCCTCCATTAGAAAAAAAAAAAAAAAGGCACTGTGCAAGCTCTGCTTACACCCAGTTTCCTTCCATCCAATCAGGCGATCCTTGAGAGCGGACGGACAAGTCGGGCTGTTAATGAGGAGCCTACAGGATGGGAGGAGGAGGGAGAATATCGGCCACTCCATCCATTGTAAACCTTCCTCATCTGTTGCATACTCTCTACACATCAAAGAGGAGGCCGAACTGGAGAGCGATCCAGAGCCACCTCTGCGCCATAACCACAGCTTCAGACCCACTGACCTTTTTAAAAATGGATCCGTTTCCTGGCATTCCAAAACTCATTTTGGGGCCCTCCTTAAACTCAAAACTGACAGTGAGGCTAGTGAGCACCTTAAAGACATACCCAGGTTATTGGAAGCCACTGGACTTTTGACAAAGTCACTTGCTTGTGAGAAAGGAAACCTCCAGGAGGCCTGCAGGGACCACAGCCTCTCCCTTTCTCATTCATCATCTTTTGACCTCAAGATTCCACAGGTGCGAGTTATGGGCACAGGAACAGATCCAACTTGGGATTCCTTGTCCACTGAATATTCAGGTTCACTTTGTGAGAACAGCCTGGGAAAGAAGCTTCGTTCTGTTCTACCTAAACAAATCCAAAAAAAGTGCAGTGGAGGTTTTAATAGCCCACGTTCAGAGAAGGAATACTGGCCTTATGACACCGACCGCCAAGCCTTGGGAGGGAGCTGTCCTCTGGATTCAGAGTCAGACCTGGGTAATAAGCAGCCAAGGAAAAAACGTGGACGATATCGACAGTACAACACTGCGCTGCTGGAAGAAGCTATTGTGGTGGTTATGGGTGGGAAAATGAGTGTGTCTAAAGCCCAGTCAATCTATGGCATTCCACACAGCACCCTGGAGTACAAAGTTAAAGAGCGACTGGGAACCTTGAAACATCCCCCCAAAAAGAAATTGAAGCTGATAAGCCAAGTAGAACAGGGTGTTTCGCAGTCCCCTGAGAGGAAAGATCTGCAAAACCTCCAGCACATTGTTTCTGAGAAAAGAGAGAGCACATCTGAAGGGAATGCGAATGATTTCCCTGATAGAAGCCGCCCATCAAATGAGTGATATCTATGAATAGTGATGTAATTTTTAGCCAGATAAATGTTGCATTTGCCAGACAGTGACAGTAGCTGACATGTTTTCCATGAATTCTTAATAGTTGTGTGTAACATTGAAATTTCTATTTGTCTTTCATACATTTACCATTAGCATTAATAATAACTGTGTGCAGCCTTCTATATTGAACACTCCCATTGTCTCTCTGCCCCACATATTGTGTTCATTAAGAATTTCAACTGAATGTCCGTTTATTGTTTAGGTCATGCTTCCATCATTCCTGGCTCTCCATGTGTATGTACTCTTTATATGTAGAACCCTACTGCATGTTTTAGGCAGTGGCGCCCCTCAGTGTTTTCTTTCAGTACTGTTCATAGCATAGCATATACAGTTAATTCTAATTACTTGTATAAGACCTGCAAGTATACATGAGGGCATCTTACTAGGCATCAGTTATTGTAAAGTGTTTATGGATGACAATGGAAGTTGCTGTCACTGTTTTGCATAAGCATGTCAATGATTGAAATGCACACTGGAGATATAATAGATAAAATATCTATCGATTCTAAACACTGTTATCCAAAAATGTATTTATATGCTAGTTTGTTGGAATATTTTCCAGCATTTCACTTTCCCCTTTAAATCCAAATTAAGATCATCTTCACAAGCAGTGGGTTTTTTTTTTTCTTTCATTGCTTTCACTTTACTCAGGATGAGTTCAGATTGGGTTGCTGTACTTGTCAAAGAAATTTGTCTTTATCATATCATGATTAATACATATAAATATGCCTCATCCTGCAGATATGCTTCACTAAATTGCCTCATAGACTAGAAGTCGACTCCAACAGGGAAGGATAGTGTAGCCTGTTAACCATTCGAGGTAGCATTTCATATCTTACTATATCACTCGTGTGTGTGTGTGTGTGTGTGTGTGTGTGTGTGTGTGTGTGTGTGTGTGTGTGTGTGTGTGTGTGTGTGTATCCAACTTTAGCTAGGTATCGGTAGCATTTCAATACCAGTGTAAGCCTTCAGAGCATTTCAGTTGGATGTGATCTAGGGCTCTTCTTTTTCAGATTTCAGGTATTATCTCTGGGATGTCTTACTCTTATAAATGAGAGAGGCAGAATTTTAATTATCAAAAATGCAAAAAAGTTAGTACATACAGTTGAGTGCAAAAGTTTGCATCCCCTTACTTTGAAATGGCAAAAAAGTAAGACTTCCCCCCCCTCAACATAATATTTAATATCGGTGAAATGAAATCAAGAAAATAAGACCAGTCCCCCTTTTGAGAGTCAAAATAAAATCGAGGTGCAGTAGTGTTCTTTGTTAGAAACTCTTGATTTTCATAAAATCATTATTTCCAATGTGCAGATGGAGCTTAAAGTATTGGCTGACTTTGCTGGTGTTCTACCATTTACTAGATTGTCTAGTTACAGTAGTAGTTAGATGCTGTTACAGTCATGCCTCAGTCTGCAGGTCAATTGTCCTGGTGAGAGGGAAAAATAATGAATGTCCTGGCTTTTTTTAATATATATTTCACAAAGAATTGGCTAGGCTTTTTAATATAAAATATCTCAGACTGCTATTTCCTTAAAATGAATATTATATAGATGGTTTGGCCATGGTGCTGACACTCTACACAGAAGCTAAGGTTAAAACTTTTAACATCATTACATTTTTGCTCAGTTTTTGACTGTGCCTCGTCCAATCTTTTGCTCTATCAGGACACCTCATTGTGCATTATCACTTATCCCTTTATAGCCTTTTTGATGTACACAGTCTTGCTTAGATGGCCCTGCATGTTTTGATAAAACAAACGATCAAGTACAAGCAGTTAACTCAGATATTATATTTGCTGTCATATATTACACAAAGTTAGGTGAGAGTTGGTTCAAGCAGTAAAATGTAGTTCAGGGACTTGCACACTTTATCTATAGCACTGTAACAATAGTAGAATTTCATGTTAAACTTTATATCTTGTTAGAATTTGTGTTTTTGTATACTGACATTCCTTGCTGTGAAAGCAGGTGTTCTTTAGTTTTGTTTGCTCTTATTATGGTTTGCATTTCTTCTCCCTCAGGTAAAAATCTTAACTAATTAATCCTTTTAAATTGCATTTCATTTTTTGCAGTTGATGATTCACTGAAATCCAAGCACCAATTTAATGCCATCAACTATTCTTGCATTTACATTTATAAAGCACACTTCATTTCCTGATTCCAAGCAGAGCTTAATGCATTTAATATATTGAGGACATACTGTACAAGCGCTTTGGGTTTATTGACCGGTAAAACATGCACCCCTCACTGTTGTCACAAATCTAATGGTTAACTACCTCATCGGGAAAATCCATATCACGGTCTACTCTCATAGCTCGTTTTGTAGCAATGTCTCTTGTACACAAGTTTTTTTTTTTTATTGTGAAATTTTTTGAGTAAAGGTGATTAGCTTGCAGAATACAGTTGGAATAGGTTCAGCTACATGTAAATATTTATGTATATCTTTGTAGTTAATTCCAGCCCGATCTATTTAATGTTTTCTTTATCTCAGTTTTTTTTTGGGGGGGGAGAATGCAGTGGTGTAGGGGGCTCATTACTGATGCTCCTCAGAAAGCTTTTTGTTCCTAAAGTTAGGGAAGAGCTTAATTCGCTTTACCTACCTAACGAAACTGATATGTTTGGAGTTATTTTATGAATCCAGTATTTATTTATTAATCAATATTTATTCACTAAAGGTTATATCTTTATCATCACTTGTGTAACCATGAATATAAATGGCTTTAATAAAACAAAAAAGTAACTCAAGTAAGTGTTTGTAGACATAAGTGTATTATTCTTGAAAGGTATATTAAAAGGTCTTACATGAAAGATATGAGGGGGATAATTTAAGATTGTGTCACTTTATTCTGACATTTTGGGTATATTTTGTTTTGTAAATATAATGTACAATGACAAAGGTCTTTAAACATGCAAATAATGTGGCTTTTCAAGTGACTAGAGTATCCGTCTGCATTAAACAAATATGTACAGGTTTTGTATATATGAATTACCTACATTAACAGTGCATAAAGGAATGCCACTGGTGCATTTTCATGATTGGACTAAATTATAATGTGGCAGTCAGAAATAAGTTATATATGGCCTTGTTTATCTTTGATGTTTTACTGAAAATAGTAGTGTTGGTGCATTTACTGTCAAATCAGCAGCAGAAGTTCGGAATCTATCAAACTATTTAATTTATTGGTATTTACTGAACATGTGATAAAAAAAATCTACCCTCATACTGTAATTTGTAACTGCCAGATTTGTCTCTAATGCACAGTATCTAAACATCATGAACAAGTTGACAGGTAAAACGTTGTGCTTGTGAAATGTTTAGTTGTAGTTTGGTTTGTTCCTGCTTGGATTTTATTCCCCTAAAGGGGAAAGAAAAAGCATGTACCTTGTGAGTTCCTCACTGTAGTGCAAAGTCAAACAGACCCCACCCTACCCCATTTGCTCCTTTGACTTTGCAAGCAGGGTGTGAAGAGAAAAATTGGTCAGGTTCTTTTTATGGTTTATTCAATTTTGAGATATTTTGGTCTGTTGTACACATCTTGTGTGTGTGTGTGTGTGTGTGTGTGTGGAGCCATAAAACCTTAATACATCTTTTCATGTTTTTTATTACATTTATATTTTGTTAAACAACAAATGTCACTATAAGCTCAGTGTAGATTTAGATGCTGATCAATATGTTATTAAATTACTTTTTTATACAGTTCAGTGCATCAGGCAACACATATTTAATTAAAAACAAATGAAGAAGTAAAGAGTTCAGCGAAAATTCACTTGCTGTATGTCTCCCACTCCTAAAGGATGTGGAAGGATGTTGTAACCTTTGTGATTAAAAGCTGAAATTGGCATTGTTTTTTTTGTGTTCATGCATCTGTTGGTGTATACCAACACTAAAACTGTTAAACTGTTAAATTTCACTTTGCCCCATTGCTGTATACAGTAGCTGAGTAGAGGCCATGTAGCACACAAGATATTCCACCGTCTTCACTGTAGCACAAACATGACAAAATGTAAAAAGGTATGCCACAATAAAATTTGTAGTACAAATATAATGCTTAGTTGTAATTATCACACAGCTCTAAACAAATTAGTCACAAAATAATAAACTTTAAGGTTTTTTTTTTTTTCTTGAATACATGTTTATCTTGCAGTTGTTCGCACTTCTTGCTCTGTAATGCTATTTCTCTTTTTCCATTGGTCAACTTAGACTTGTGACCTCAGGAATCTGTATATCATCACTGTTGGGTAAAACCTTGTATCTCCAAAACCACTACTTTTCAGGAAATGGAAAAACCCTTTGTATCTAAAATAACGCCACATCGTGTTATCAAAGTTGATATTATCTTTATATATGGTCACGTACCTGCATGTGTCATTATATTAACATTTTATCTAAATCAAGCACATATGAGGTTTTGCTGACAGTTTCAGGATCCAGTGGAGTTGGATTTAGTCACAAGCCCTTCTTATGCTTCTTCTGCTTTTTATTGGTTAAATGTTTGTAAAAACCCACAGACAAAAAAAGTGTTCATTAGCATTGATTAAGGGGGAAAAAGGCAAAATATGAGGTTTCCACCCAACAGCAATATGGTTTCATTTATCTGTTCTTTCTTTTTGTTAAAACACTACAGTGTAGCTTGGGAGTTATTCATTTTTAATAAAAGAAAACTTTTCAGAGTTATAAATATATTTTTAGCATAATGTGTTGGTATAAATGCTATAAAGGAATTGGAAGATTTTATTATAGACCTACCTCACTGACACAACTCAAGCCAAAAACAACCTGCCACCAAACCTCACTGGTATTAGAACTAATTCTGCATATGTTCAGTCACACTTGATTTTTCTTTTCCTGCTTAATTTGTCTCAGGTTGTTGAGTACCGTCACACTTGACAGTAGTCTTTAAATTCATGAAAACTTGACAAAACAATATACTTAATATCTGGACATAATGTATTTATCATTGTACTTTCAAGTGATAAATGTGTTTGACTTGCTTTAATCAAAGTTGGCCATCATTACTAAATGTTTTGTGCATGAGTAAAAAATTTCTTGATGTATATTGTAACATAAAGCACTACTGTCCCATGAAGAAAATGTAACTGCTGTAACAATGTAATCAGTTCACTGGATGAAATATTCATTTTTAAAATCACTTATTCTTCTAATAAATATGCAATTATTAACATTGTTCTACATTTGTGAATTATTTCAAACAAACTTTTAGTGCCACCTGTTTTTGACAGTTTTAGTAGAGGCAAAGGGGCATTTTTCTGCATAAGCTGGTAATTACATGACATAGTATGAGCCAGTATTGCTGCTTATACATGTGCAGTTACATTTTGTTTTGTTCTTCCCCCCCCAGTGAGTCTCCAGATATGCATGGTGCAAAGGCAAAAGACCTGCAGTCCACCTCCACGCTGGAACAGTTCATGGCCAAACTCTGCCCCCACCATCAGAGACAGATAGTAGACGCCATTGGTTTTCTACAGACAGAGGTCAAAGCCCTCTCATCTTCCAATACACAACATGCCTCTAACTCTACCTCTGGGATCCAGGGAACTACTTGTTCTGCTGCGAAATCCACTGCAGTCACCTTGGCAAAGTCATGCCCTGAGCTGAGGTTTCCCAGTGAATCCACTCCCAAGTCAGAGGTCCAGGATATGTCTCTATCAGTCCCAAGCAGTTGTACAATGAAAAAGGTTGCAGAGAATGCAGTGTCATTGAAAACATCTGTTACTGCTGATTCTGCCTTGGATCTTCACAGTCCTGGGTCAGGGATTAACCATACTTTGGCAGCTCCTATTGTGAATCCAGTGGACACAGAGAACAACCATCATGGTGATCACGCACCACTTAGGATGAAAATCATGACCAGCAACGTTGCTGATGGTAAGAAGTTGTCATGTGTGCTCAACGCTTCTCTGTCATCTCAATCTGACACTTCAGAGGACAAAGAGAGTAATTCAAATTCATCCCATAGAACAGAAACTCATAGTGCTAGACTCAGCTCCTCTTTAAAAAGACACAGTCAAGCTAGTCACACGCATCAATCTTGGCAGAAAGAGACTCATGGGCATGCCAAAGATAAACCAACAAAACTGTTTTCAGTCCATATGACAATTCCTTCAGACTCTCCACGGACTGCGAGGAAGACCATCAAGGCATCCTCTGATCATCGAACCAGGGAGTCTGCTTTTAGGGGAATGGCTGACCCTGATATTGGCCATTGTGATATTGTTTTTATTGACAAACCAATTACAGAGTGCTTTAAGGAACAACGCCGGGGCGTGCTCCCGCGCCGCAATGCCAGAAAAAGCACCAGAGGACATATGTATTCTGATGAAATCTGGGAGTTGAAAACTGTCCGTACACTGGCTGGTAGGGGAAACTGTCCAAATCCAATGCCAGAGCTGGTCACATTGGTCACCCCAAAACAGATACTTTCAAAGCCTGAAGGTGTACCACCTGTTGATATGCCTTTTGTTGGACCATGCAGGGAAACAATGAATCAGCAAATGTCCACCGAAGAGTCAGATGAGAGTGTGATACCAGGAACAGGAGATATGGTAGAGGTAGCAGCCAGTGAAGTAGACATTATTGTTGAAACTAGTCAGACAGATCAGTGTCAGAAAAAGGGGCAGTCTCCTCCTCCATCTCCAATGAGATCCCTAACAGAGAACACAGAAACAGATGTGAATGCAGATGTAGAACAGAATACAGCTGCAGATTCAAGGACAACAGAAAGTGAAGAAAGTGTTGATCAGGCTCCATGCGAACCAGAAAAAGATAATGAGCCAGAGCCCAAGCCCCAAGAGGACATATGTGAAAGTACTGATCAAATAGTGGCAGAAACAGAAGTGGAATCGTTAGAGAATATTACAGTAGAAAAAGCCAAGCCCCAGCTTTCATCAGATATACTGCACAACAGTCAGCCTGTTCTCCAGCAGACTCGCACCCCATCACCAGTGAATCAGGTTGAGTACGAAGCAGAAGAAAATGGAAAGGAGGAAATACAAGATGAGCAACCTCAAGAACTTCAGCCAGAGACACAGATGCACTGTGA